GTTTTGGAAACATTCTTAGGTAACACTGTATTTAGATATTCATTTTACAAGTATCATATCTACATGAACACTCAACCATCCCAGAGCCTCACCCTGCCTCAGTTAGTCATACTTGCCCAACCGCTCAGGTATGTCACAGTGGTTAATCATTAAAGAGGCATATACCTGTGTGTGTGTAATGTCTATTGGCATGAGTAGTTTTTAGAGCGTGATTATGTAATCCAGTTCCTGTAATGGCTCTTTTGACCAGTTCTACACACTCGTTTAGCGTGCAGTTACACAACTCGCCACTCTCAACGCTCTTCCTGTTGCGTTATTCTTTAGAGACTGTGATGATTTAGTGTGTGTGTTTGGAGAGGGTGTGAGATTCTAGATGAGGCATGCTGGCGGACACACCTTCCCACTCACTTTCCCTTCTTCTTCCTGCCTCGGCTCCACCAACATGACAATTTAGGGCTGAGGCGGAGCCAAGCGTATCCCGCAATGCCCTCCATGTCTCTCTGCAGTCAGAACAAGAGCAGGCCTACGACCTGTAGCTAGTTGCATCATTTAGAGGAGCTAGGAAATGGACGGCAGGAGTTAAACAGAAAGAAAGCAGAACAGGAGCATCGCTGCAGCTTTCGATTCGGACAAGTGAAGATAAGGAGCGCGGTTTGTGACTAGCGTGACGCAAAGGAGATGAGTACGCAACAGAGACGGAGGGAATATTCGAGCGACAGCCTGGAGAGGATCCCTTCAGATGACTTGCACTACCAGGGAATGCTGAAAGCCTTGGAAGGCAGGAAAGGTAGTTAGGAAAGCTCTCGGATGCACCTGCTCGTGATGGAAGAGAAATGCCTTCTTTGTAAAAGTCAGATCTCTAGTTATTATTAGCGTGTGAACTTCGCAGACTTACATTGAAACGAATCTTTGATTTTAAGCAGTATTCTGGTTTTGGAAACATTCTTAGGTAACACTGTATTTAGATATTCATTTTACAAGTATCATATCTACATGAACACTCAACACTCTAATGAGAGTTAGTTGACATGTAGTTGCAAAGTTACTTATAGTGAGTAGAATTTCTAAAGAGGACTGTCAGAATAAAGTGTAAGCCATTCATAAAACAAGATCAGTTTAATTGAGAAGCGAAACTGTGTCAGATTAAGATTTAAGCATAAATGGGGTCAGAAAATCAATTTCATTCAAGATATATTCTCTGAGAAAAAGTCTTAATGCCATATGCAAATTTGCTTTCTAAGTCAATGTATCTTATTTTACTGGAAAACATTGTTTATTATTATTATTAGTAGTGGTATTTGCAGTGTATATGGCTTAGGTTTCTTCTTCAATGTCAGTCCAGGATCTAGGAAATCTAGGACTTTTTATCTTGATGTATTAATACTTGTTCATAGTTCTTGCATTAAAGACAACAACCATGAGAAAAATATTTTACACCTTTTTAAATGCAATCTTGTAAGCAAACAGGATTATATTAGAATATATTATAATGAGATCTGATATTAGAAGATCTCATTATTAAAAAACTGCATTTAAGTCTTAATATATTTGAAAGTTTTTTTTTAGTAAAGCAGTAAACAACTCAAGGTTTATCACTAGCCTTATAATGTTTGCAATCTGTCGCAGCTTTGCCCAGGTGCCTTTAATTCACACTATAAAAAGGCTCACACAGAAGCTGCCTCACCTGACCAATATTTAAATAGATGACTTATATTTACCGGTGTAAAATGTGTTAAGTGGGACTGAGGCGACATTCACTGGATTGGCTCGTTCAGTATGTCATCAGCAAACAGTGGTGAGAAAGTGCATTTGACACTATAGCGTACAATAACGCTGGATAAAATGGAATTTTATAGATAAAAAAATTAATTTTCTTGCATGCCTCACACCCCCCAGAGGGCAGGAGTTGTGCGCTGAATCACAAGGGCGTTGGTTTCTGTAACTTTATACAACTTTTAGAGGATAGAAAGCAGTGAACGGTGGTCAAAGGACAAAGGTCTGCTGACGACCCCCGTAAAGCTGTTCATAATTATCCACCTCATCTCCCGCAGTAGGACTCTTCGAACACTAAAAGGAAGTCTTACATTAATGACCCTCCACCCATGATAGTCACCATGGCAGTTATATTTCATAATCTGCTCGTCATACTCCACCCATCAGAAGCAGAAGTCCTGCGGGTCTGAATCAGCTGTTCCCTCAACACTCGACAATCACTCGGCGTTTTAAAGGACTCTTAACATTGCTCAGCAAACAGTTTCAATTGTATATCGTGTTATGCATTGAAGTACCCTGCTGTACTTGACAACATTGTATTGAGCGGAGAACATTTGATTCCACAGAAGCGTCAATTAATTGGATTGAGGTGTTGGGCATTTGCTCTGTTTTGGCTCATGCATTCCTTCGAGATTGCTTGACACTTGATTCCTAGTATATTTAAACGTCTTTGAGTCCTTGCTGATCCGTCGTCACCATCCTTCAAATTAGAGATGGTTTTGGGATGTCCTGTGCACCTGATGCAATTGGTTCAGATTTGGTATTGTGATTAGACATGAGATATGATTTGAGTTTACAGCAGTTTTCCTCCCAGAAAGAGGTGTATTGAAATCTCTTATCATAGACTCTTATTTCTGCAATGCTACAATGCTTCTGTCCTGTGTATTTTTCTACACAAATGTCTATTTTTTCTGTTACTTTGAACACTAACTTCACACTTTACAATATATTAGGTGGCCTTAACTACTATAAACTAGCATTAAATACCTGCAAACTACATGTTGTTCTGAAAAATGTACACATTTTTTGCTAATGAGCTTAGGTTTGGTAGTAAGGGTAAGGTTAGGGTTATAGTGGTTAGGTTTTGCGGTAAGGGTTGAGTTACAGATAGGGATAAAGTTAACACTGTAATGACACATGTTAATTAAGTACAAGCACTTTAAATGTAATTACAATGCACCAACATGCATGTATCAAATGGTTAAGTAGTGTAGCTGAAGCTAACTAATAGAAAAGTAACCAAACTTTACCAACTAACTCACAAACTTTAACCATAAATGTGAGCATGCTGCTTCAGATTACTCTGAACAACGGACTCTTAACATTGCTCAGCAAACAGTTTCAATTGTATATCGTGTTATGCATTGAAGTACCCTGCTGTACTTGACAACATTGTATTGAGCGGAGAACATTTGATTCCACAGAAGCGTCAATTAATTGGATTGAGGTGTTGGGCATTTGCTCTGTTTTGGCTCATGCATTCCTTCGAGATTGCTTGACACTTGATTCCTAGTATATTTAAACGTCTTTGAGTCCTTGCTGATCCGTCGTCACCATCCTTCAAATTAGAGATGGTTTTGGGATGTCCTGTGCACCTGATGCAATTGGTTCAGATTTGGTATTGTGATTAGACATGAGATATGATTTGAGTTTACAGCAGTTTTCCTCCCAGAAAGAGGTGTATTGAAATCTCTTATCATAGACTCTTATTTCTGCAATGCTACAATGCTTCTGTCCTGTGTATTTTTCTACACAAATGTCTATTTTTTCTGTTACTTTGAACACTAACTTCACACTTTACAATATATTAGGTGGCCTTAACTACTATAAACTAGCATTAAATACCTGCAAACTACATGTTGTTCTGAAAAATGTACACATTTTTTGCTAATGAGCTTAGGTTTGGTAGTAAGGGTAAGGTTAGGGTTATAGTGGTTAGGTTTTGCGGTAAGGGTTGAGTTACAGATAGGGATAAAGTTAACACTGTAATGACACATGTTAATTAAGTACAAGCACTTTAAATGTAATTACAATGCACCAACATGCATGTATCAAATGGTTAAGTAGTGTAGCTGAAGCTAACTAATAGAAAAGTAACCAACTTTACCAACTAACTCACATACTTTAACCATAAATGTGAGCATGCTGCTTCAGATTACTCTGAACAACACAGTGCTTTGCAAGTTCTCTAGAAATGATGACAGATGCAAGTGTTGGTAGTTTGTATGCGGTGTTCTCTTGTGTTTTAATGAGCTTAGGTTTGGTAGTAAGGGTAAGGTTAGGGTTATAGTGGTTAGGTTTTGCGGTAAGGGTTGAGTTACAGATAGGGATAAAGTTAACTCTGTAATGACACATGTTAATTAAGTACAAGCACTTTAAATGTAATTACAATGCACCAACATGCATGTATCAAATGGTTAAGTAGTGTAGCTGAAGCTAACTAATAGAAAAAGTAACCAACTTTACCAACTAACTCACAAACTTTAACCATAAATGTGAGCATGCTGCTTCAGATTACTCTGAACAACACAGTGCTTTGCAAGTTCTCTAGTAATGATGACAGATGCAAGTGTTGGTAGTTTGTATGCGGTGTTCTCTTGTGTTTCTCGCTGCTGAAGGAACATGATTCTGCAGGCTGTGGGTGTGTCTGTGGTGTTCGGTTAGTCATGAGTGATGCACACTTAGGATTAAAGCTCTGGTGAATTTTCCCAGCCTGAGGCCTCACAATGCATCACGTTTTCTTCCCTTCGAACCTGCGCTCCGTCGTTGCTTGACAGTCATTGCTCTCCGGCTTTACCCAGAGATCGGTTTCTCACGTGGGTGTGCCTCCTGGGTGCTGAGTTTTAATAGTTTGCTCCTATGCAAAAAGAGCTGATTTAAAAATGCTCTGGCGTGGGTTATCGAGTTTTCATTTGTTGCACTTCTCTCTTCACTTGCAGTCCTGTTGGAAACACACTCACACTAGTGGTTGTTTTGGGCTGAGCGTAACAATCAAATCAACAGATCAGTGATTTGAAAGCATCACAGAGACGGTTTTGCACTTCTCAGTGAAATGAACCTGTTAATTGCTTATTTATAGGGATTTAGCATTTTAAAGTTTAACATCAAAACATTATTTTAATAATCAGCAGTATTTACAAAATGACGTAAATTCCTTCATATCCAGACATTTACTCTGAACACTGCTGAAGTGTGTTTACATTTTTTTTCTTTATCTTTTTTTGCAGATGAACGGGACAGAGTGCAGAAGAAGACTTTCACAAAATGGGTGAACAAACACTTAATAAAGGTACCTTTATGTTCATTATTCACTGCAGTTTGTCAGGATAATATGACCAGTGATTATCGGTCCTGCTCTTCCCTTCTGTGTACTCATCCATTCATGTTCAAATTGTGATTTTACTGTTATTGACTTATTTGATTATCATTTTAACAAACAAATCCAATGCAACTTACTATACACTTTCGCAGCACAAGTATCTTAGGTTTAGTTCATGAATCAACCCTTGCAGAGTTTGAACCTACAATGGCCGATGTGATCAACATCTTATATATTGTTGTTGTGAAATGATATATCACAATGTAGTTTTAATGGAAAAAAAAAAACTTTTTGTAACGTACAGTAAAAACTAAGACAAGCAAACAATGAAAAAGAACTGTGTGATAAGGTTTTCTGTACTCTAGCTTTGGGTGTGTGCACTGATTAAAAACTGATTAAAACGTGTCGTTTTAGTATCACTGAGATACTATTATAGTTTTTTTTTTTTAATTACTATTTGTTTTTATTTTCCATTTTAATATTCATTTTAAAGTTTAAAAAGTAATTTTAAAGTGAGATTTTGTCATTTGTCATCAAGTGTTTTCCCCCTAAATATGTCTATATAATTGTAAAATTTTATTTCAGTTTTAGTTATTTTAGTACATTGAGTTGAGGGGGGAAAAAGCTAAAAAAGTGAAACTATTTCAAGCAACATTTTTTTTTTTCCATTTGATTTTTTATAGCTTTATTATTAGTTTCGGTCAACTAATAATAATCATAGTCAGAACAGTGTGCGAGTATCAAATTAAGTTCTTTCATGTTTTATTGCACTTTAATGATCGCTTTAAGAAAGGCTTAAAAACATCAACTTTTATTACAGTGCAGCACTGCGATGTCATGTGAGCATAACCATGATGGACAGATAATACTCCTTGTTACATTTCTGCCAGTTTATCATATCTCCCAGTGTATTGCTCACACATACCACTACTATTAGTTACCAGTGCAATTTTGAGCCACTATGTCACAACACCCAGTTTAGAAACTAGTGTACTCATCTTAAAGTCTCTTCCATTTGGGGAGACATAACAGCTGTTGGGCTGAACATGGTTTCTGTTTGTATCCGCCGTAGAGAAGCAGATCATATCCTGTCCACACATGCTATAAATCTACACACGGCTCGTTTATCATCGTCTAGTCTAAAGTGTCTAGTGTTTAGGCAGAAAGGGGGTGTGTTGAAAATCCAAACAAAAGATAATGAAAATGTAGCGCCAGACAAAATTGGAGGTTATTAGCACTCGTACAAATCAATCAAGCCTGTTCTTTCACCGTAGAGGAGGCAAAACACGAGACCCCTTCAGAACAAAAGAGTTGATATAAGACAAACCTGCGTGTCAAGAACATCTGGATTAATTTTGCAGCATGCATATCATATTCAGGGAATAAACACTTGTCAGTCCAGCCAACAGTAGCACATGTGCTGCAGATCTTTGGCTGGGTTAAAGCCCTTTATCTGTGATTAAACAAAAGCCAAGTTTGACTACTTTGTTTCTCAGAGGAGGACTGAATTTAAACTTTTCTCACACATCTTTGGTAAAAAATTACAGCTCAAATGAACAACTGTTTTAGGCTAAATTCTGAATGTAACCTCATCATTGCAGATTATTATGTTTGACAATGTGCTTTCGTCATTTATTCTGACCTTATCTCATAATACTTCCTTACCTTATTTGTTATGAATTTTGGCAAAGTTTCTGGGTAAAACAATTGTTTTATATACTGTGCATTATATTAATTATTATTAATATCAAAGTGATTTTAGGATGTGCATCCAGAGCACACCTACATAAACCTATGTAGCAAATGTTCAACTCATTTGTATTTAATACAAACACTGAGTATGTTTTCACTCTTTATACTATCAAATATAAGCCCTTATTTTATAATAATCTGGCTGTTATCTACACTGACACATCTATATTTGCTGACTGAATGTTTGAGTTTGACCTTGACAAACACTTAGAGATCACAAAAACAGTTTGCTCTGTGGTTTGTCGCTGTCATCAGCTGTTTTCTAGCGCTTATTAGATGCTGCTATTGCTTTGTGCTGAAAACATGGGCTAGTGGTCAAGTATATGGAGATAGATGGCACAAATGAGACTTATTACGGTATAATACACCCATACATTGCTTAGGTCTGGATTGGTGTTTTGCCAATGTGTGACTCGAACACTGACTGTGATATAATACATTATAGCAAAGAGTCATCGATTGTGATGAAGTTCATTGCAATAATAGACAGTATGATTTGTGTGTGAGGTTTAATGCATTTAATGCATACATCAATGGAAAGATTATTTATTCAGCTTTCAGATGATGTATACATCTCAATTTTAAAAAATTGACCCTAATGACTGGTTTTGTGGTCCAGGGTCACATTTCACTTTCAGGTGGATGAATAGATGTTTTTGTGAGAGAAAAGAGGCTGCAGGTTTTATTGTGCTGAACTTCAGAAGACCTCAGTAGTTCTGTCTATCATCTTTTCCTTGTCCTCTGCTTTATACAGCAGTTGAATAGAAGTCATTTATCCAGCTTACAAATGCTTTATATTAAGACTTTTAAAATACATAAAATATAATTACATTTACATTACAGAGAAAGTACAATTCTGAACATTTGATATCTAATATTTGCAAAGAATTAAGTACAAATTTCAGAAAATGATTTCCAGTGAGTGTTCCTCAAGGTATAACAACATTTAACCGAATAAGATGTTAAGTTTCCACGATGGAAAGATAATTCATTTACTCACTCTCATGGCATTCTAAAACCGCTTAGATTTTTATTTTTCTGTGGAAGCCAAAATGAGAACATCCAGGCTGCTTTTTCCATACAAATCAAGTGCAAATCAGCTGAAACAGCCAAGCCATGAACAAAAACTACCAGCAGTGCTTCGTATGAAGTGTTCTTTTAATGTGAAGGCTTTGTGTGAAGAACAGTCTGGACTTTCTGCTAAATGTCTTATTTTATGTCTGTGGAAAAAGATAAATCGCAGGTTTTGAACATGATAAAAGGAGATTATAGTAATATAACTGATGTAGCTGATATCAGCATCAGATTTTAAATCTTAATGTTGTCCTTCATCATTCAACTTTCACTTCTTTCTTCCATTTCGAATCGATGTAACTCCATTCATCTCTCTGTGCTCTTCTCTCCTCCTCATCCTCTCCTCCAGCACCGGAGAGCTGAGGTAGGTCCATCTGTCAGCGTGTCCCAGCATGCTCTGCTCTCTCACACGCATGTTCAGTGCTCCTTGTCCTCCCCGAGGCTCTTCTGCTGAACCATGCTCACAGCTTGAGCTTGAGCTTGAAAATGGCCCATTGGTTGCCATTCATTTTAGTCTCATGCACTGCAACCCCATCTGCTCACTCACATACTGGATGTACAGTGACGACAGCTCTGTCATTGTACTTGGATTATAGGAAGCAATGTTGCTAAAATTATAAATTGTGAAAAGGTTTGCTGTGTTACACTATTAGTTAAAGAGTAGTTGATCCTAAAATCCTGTCATCATTCACTCAACACACTGTTTTTATATATATATATATATATATATTTTTTTTTTATTTTTTTTTTGTCCTTCCTGGAACTTTACAGATTTGATTGTTATTATAGTAAAAAATAAAGATTTGTTTGGAACTGGGGTTATATAGTTAAACTAAAGCTAAAACAAAACAAAATGTTAATGGAAATAAATTTTAAAAATCTTGTTTTATTTCAGCTACATTTCTTAACATTTCTCATTTTAATGTAGTACTCAATGTGCTAAAATAACTAATAAATAAATAAACTAATAAATAAACATTAAAAACGTCTTAGACATTTACAAAAACTAAAATGGCAAACAACAAAATCACTAAAACTAAAATTACATTTCAATTAATTTAATTTAAAATTAAAAAATCACTCAAATTAAATAGAAAACAGAAAATATTTAAAATATAAAAAATCCTGCAATATTTATCAATGGTACTAAAATAACACTGATTTGAATGTGTTTGCAACAACATGAGGGTGAATAAATGATCACAGAACTGTCAGTTTTCTGTGAACTGTAGCTTTAAGGATTTTCAAGCGAGCTGCAGAGAGGGTTTTGCAGCAGTGCATGTTGATATAGCTGATATAGATATAGTTAATATTGATAGCTGCATGATAAATACCTGAGGAAGCCCAGTCTGTCTGTGTTTTTATTATTGAAGCTGAGATCTGACTCAACGAGGTTTTATAAACCTACTGTACAATGATTGAGTGGCTGATTTAGAAAAGAAGGAGAAAGCGTCAGAATTTAATGTAAACTCTGTCACTCAGTAAATCATTTGACACAGATCTTTTTTTGACATGAGGCAGGTGAGCCGCTCTTCTGCCTGCAGCCATGCATTGCCCTGTCCTGTACTCACTGAATAAAACGCAAATCAATCACTTTGAATTCAGGTTTTTTTCCCTCTCTTAACAAGAGACATGCATGCTTGTGTTTAGAGTCCCTGCTCGAGCTGCCCAGTTTTGGAGTCTTAACTGTTTCAGATGCCCAGAAAATATCATTTGGTCAAAATCATGTTGTTCCAAACTTAAACACAAAATTAGGTGTTAGGCAGCATGTCTAAGCTTCTGTTTTTATCCTGTACAAGAACACTGGATTTGTTAAATGTGAGACAAAATCATCACAATTAAAAGAACCAAAGACTTAAACTACTTCAGTCTGTGTGCATTGAATTTATTTAATACACGAGTTTCACAATTTGAGTTGAATTACTGAAATAAATGAACTTTTCCACGACATTCTAATTTATTGAGATGCACCTGTATACTGCCAAGCTCTAAAAAGAACATAAACGTACCAGAGAATTTCAAGTGACATTTCCAAATGACAAGTCAGTTGGAATATATAGGACTTGGATTGGATTGGCATCACCATTAACTTTCCTTGAATGGAATAAAATGTAGAAGCTCAGATTTTTTTTTATATTTTTTTATGTAAAAAATATACATGAGGATAGATGAATTATGACAAAATGTTGTCAACAAAATGACCAAAAGTGGAAATTCTAGGTGCGTGATTTTGTCCTTCAAACTAATAAAACACAAACCTGCTGACAATTTAACCAATTCAACTAAATCACGCAGTCACCTGTCAAAAAAAGTTCAACGTCCAGAAAAATCATGGATGAATCTGATTGCATCAAACGGTAATCAGGATGTGCTACAAACACAATACAGTTAAGATCGGGGTTGTAAGTTTAGTGTTTGTTTGTGAGGAATGAAATCTTCAGAATTGACTGCAGAGTTGGATTTTCTTTCTGCAGGGATGTTTTTTTTATATGTGTGACTCTCATAAACTGATCTTTGCGTTATCTCCATCCTCAGACTCAGCGTCATGTGAATGACCTGTATGAAGATCTCCGAGATGGACATAACCTGATCTCCCTTCTGGAGGTCCTCTCCGGAGAGACGCTGGTGAGTGTAACCTAACTTCTTCCTCCACTAATGCAGCTAAACAGCCAGTCAAGGGAAGACCATCTCTTACCCCAGTCTACCTCTCCACCTCCAACCTTGCCCTCAGCCTTCACACAAATCCAAAGTCCTGATCCAGATCTCCAGGTCAACGAAGACATGTTAATGGGTGATGCCTTGGAATACGTCTCTAAATTCGAAACACGTTTTGTTGAATCACACCCAAAACACTGGGTTCAGATATTCCAGGCAAATTCTCGACATCTTCCCATCAAACTGCTTCATTTCTTGGCTGTAGCTCTGACATTAACGTCACTCTTCGGCTTTTCTTTTGAATCTGTGTGGCTCTTTGACTCTTTCTCTGCCTTTCATCCCACCGTCTCTTTGCTGACCTTTACCCTTTGACTTCTGTCTGCTCTCTTTGCACTTCTCTTGCTGGTCAAGCCGAGGGAGCGGGACGTTGTGCGGAGCGTGCGGTTGGTGAGTGATGCAGATGCTTCATTGGCATGGGTCACTCACTGTGGCTGGCCTGCGCATGATGTCACGTCCGCCAGTCTTGCTGTAGTCTTGTTTTCATTTGTTATTAGAGTTACTTCAATGCTACTGTATGTCTCACGGCGATAAAATGCTAGGTATCTCAGCTGATTAAAGTGTCCCTATTATGAGTAATGAAAGGTTCATATTTTGGTTTTGGGAGTCCCCAACAACAGGTTGACATGCATGCAAGGTCAAAAAACACTTTCATTATCTTAATATATGCATTTATTTTTATCTTACTTGCTCCCCAACAACAGGTTGACATGCATGCAAGGTCAAAAAACACTTTCATTGTCTTATAATATGCATTTATTTTTAGCTTTCTTGCTCAACGACTCCCAAACGATTCGCTCAATGATTCATTTTTTCAAACCCCTGCTTTGCGTGACGCTAATCTGCGGTGATTGGTCTCATTTTCATTTCATCTCGCCTGTGATGGCTGATAAAGCAGCGTTTGTGAGCGCAGTGCTGCTTTGTGGACAATATGCTAACGTTTCATGTTGACGTCAAGATGAAACGGCTTGGGATTCGTTTTAAAAACGACTGGTTTCAATGATTCAGAGTCGACTCTTTCTTTTGAGAGACAATAACTCTATGCACGGGGTACTTTTAGATTTAAAACTTTGCAGGATGTTTTCATTCACTTAGAGCTGTGTTACACACTGCATGAAAGGTAATTTTTAAAAAAAATCCATAGTAGGGGCACTTTAAAATAAAGATTACAGGGTAATTATTCAGCAGGTTGGTAGCTAAATGTTGTAAGACTTCATTAAAAATTCTAAATTTAAAGATTTAAAAGATACGTCTGCAAAAAAACATTACTGTCTTAAGCATGTTTTTTCTTCTAATTTGTTGGGACTTTTATTTTGAAAGTTTACTATTAGGAATAGCATTACAGTAGCAGTTTCATTTACTCTTATACAACAATATTGAAAGACTTGTTTAAGATTTATAAATAAAAAAGGTTTAAGATCAAAAACAACATTGCTGTCTTAATAAAGCATGTTTTTGCTTCTAATTTGATTACTTTTATTCTGAAATTTGACTGTTCTAAATAACATTACAGTAGCCTCCGCTTGCGCATGACTGATGCTGTTTCTCTTTATGACACCATCTATCTGAACCTCGTCACAGTTTGGGTGTGTGACCGATATAACGAATTAATGATATCTAAGTGACTGCCAAATAAATCCACATTTATTGTGAAGCAATATATAACTGATTATAAGTTGTGCAAGACATGCTTTTTTAAGTTAAAGTTGTTCAGGTCACAAAATGATGTCTGCAAACTCTTGGAGTGTGTTTGGGGAGTCAAATGTTTTGGGTTGTTTCCTATAATACAGAACGTTTTTTTTTGTAGCATTCAGTAGTTATTTAGCATTCATCCACAATATTATACCACGTTACGTCCCTAAAGCCACAAGACCATCACTTCTGTCAAATAAGCTTAAAGACCCCATGAAGTGACTCAACATGCATTTTATTTATTTGTTTGTTTAATTATTTTTTTTTTGCATGATCTGTGTTGACGTATTGAAACAGGAAATTGGGGCTTGGCATATCAAAGCAGGTATTATTTATTTAGGGAACATGCTCATTCTTGCGTGGAGCTTATTGGACACAAATTTGTATATGTTCCTGATCACAACATGAATCAGAATATCAAAAATGTATATTTTAAATGCAGATTTAGTTTTTCTGTCACCTAGAATACAGATGTCCTCAATGCTAGCAGGCATAAACTAAACATTTTGATTTCATGGGGTCTTTAATGTCTTTTCTTTGCATTATTAGTGTTCATAAATATTGTAGCCTCACTGCAAGGTCCTCCTTGTTCTTCATTATTTCTTCATTTAGACCTTCCAAAGAAGTTTCTCTGGGCACTCAAGGACACGTCTCAGTCTCGTCTCTTCTTTAAACAATGTTATGTGTCTTATTCCCCCTCTGTCTGTCTCCACAGCCTCGTGAGAGAGGACGCATGCGATTCCACAAACTGCAGAATGTGCAGATAGCACTGGATTTCCTCAGACACCGGCAGGTACGAGAACAACACAACTTACAAACTACTTCAAAAGGATAGTATGTCCAAAAATTATAGTTCTGTCATGACAACTCTCGGAGGGATTGGCATGGTAATGTACATGACAATGTTAATGTATTTGGTTCTTGGCGGAATAGATCTGCTACGCTGCTGCTGCTGCGACTGCTACGGCAAGCACTAGTCATATATTTGAATGTTGAGCAGCGAGCTCGTTGGCTACCGATACAGAAGAGAACCAATCAGCTGTGTCATGTGATAATGATGTAATTAGGTCAGATTGAGTTAGACCTATCGGACTGCGCCATCTAGAGTTTCATGCCAGAACTCTGTATTTGTCCTTACTGTCCTTATTCAACCTCGTTGGTTTCCAAACCTGTGTATTTTCTTTCATCCGTGGATTATCAAAGGAGATGTTTAGCAGAATGTCCAAGCTGCTTTCTTACATGAAGTTAAAGTTAATTGGAACCGCTGTCTGGTCACAACAAAACTGACCATCAAAGCATTAGAAAAAGCCATCTAGAAAATGTGTGTATCTTCAGTCGTCTTAGTGGGGAAAAGAGCAGCATAGACATTTTGCTTTAAGTGCCTCCTTGAGTGTTTTCATGGAAAAAGCAAATCATAGAGTATTGAGACAGTGTCTCAAATGTGAAATGCTGTTCTTCTCTGTAAATCACAGGTCAAGCTGGTGAATATCAGGAACGATGACATTGCAGACGGGAACCCAAAGCTGACGCTGGGTCTCATATGGACCATCATCCTGCACTTCCAGGTCTCCTGTTCTGTTAGTGTTGAGTTCCCATACCATTTACCTCCTCCTCCTCCTGGGCTCCTGATCAGTTTGTTCAATCACTTCAGTCTGGGTCAATCACTGGTTCATTTAATTCTTTGGGTGTCATCGGTTTCCAATCAAACATCAATAGGGTCAATCGTTTTTGCTTCAAACCAGTATCTGCCTCATGCAATAACATGCACTTTTTTTTTTAAATAATCTCCTTTAATCAGGAATATCCATTATGATCAACCACAACAGTCGTAGAATGTTAAAATGATGCAGTTTGTTTGATTCTCTACACAAATCTGTTCAGTGTCTTAGGCGCCATGAGGAATTGAGAATCTTTGATCTAATCTAATTTCATAATCTAATATCCAGGCTGTTTTGTAGATCTGAATTATGTGAATCTGTTGTTCAAGGTGTTCAGTTACAACCACACCCTGATTTATTCCACCTCAAACAATTAAACTACAGCTGCCAGGAGACTGTCACACATTCAGCCGATTGTAATGCTCGAACATGTCCTTCCATTGTTTGAGGGAATTTAATTTCCTTGGATTGATCAAATAAGTTGGCAGGACTTCTGGTTCATCCAACAGCGACACAGAGGTTTATGTAGAGATGTGGCGTATGAACTTCTGCCCACCTCTTCAAGAAATAAAAGAGCTTTCTCTTTATGGAGGTAGCCTGACCGAAAATAGAGTCTCGTGACCAGGGTTTTAGATGGTGCCAAACTTCTGCTTGAAATTTTATTGAGGTTTTGCAACCTCCCATGAGCTTGTCTTCTATCCTGACTGACATTAAAAATGATTAAATGATTGTTTAAATAAGTATAGAAAAACACTATTTCTAAAAGATTTCCTCAAAATTAAGTTTACAGTAGTTTAAGTCTAGAGTGTTTCATCCCTTTTCCTTAGCCTCTTTATCGTGTTCTATTGAGTTTCCCCAAATTCTAAACGGAATCCTGCATTAAACATCAAACTGGCACTTATGTAATTTCTTTCTTTCTTTCTTTCTTTTATTTTATTTTTTTGTGAAATGTTGGGACACATGAAACTCATGAACCCAGGACCGTCCAGGATAATCTGGAACATTTGGTCACCATAATTTGTTAAAACCAAAGCCTTAAAACAGCGTTTGTGAGTAACTAAAAGCAACTGTACTACATCAGTCAATGTTGCCAGAAGTATATCTTTTATCTTTTTTTGTAGTCAAATACATACAGTATCTAGTTTAATGCTTGTTTTATTAACTATGAGTAGTTTAAAAATGCACGTTTTCTATTTGAGATCCTCATTGTTTTTTGGCAGATACTGTTGTTTAAATGCTTCAAACTGAGCAGCTTATAGCTCGGCAAGCTGCAGTTTAAATATGTAGCTTACCCAACACTGACGGTGAACCAATTTCCAAGCTTGGATTTTTCTTTAATGAACTGCGTTGTTTTTGCTGCACTTGTTCATGGATTAAGTCTAATGACGGGTCTCAGAGGGGTTTTAGGAGGTCAATGGTATTCAGTGGGGCTGAGTTTGTTTGTAGTGCATGACTGAAATTTGTGTGAGAAATCAACCACTTTGATTATTTATTGATTTGCATATGATGAACATATGGCTACTGCTGCCACATGTTATTAAATCCATGCAACTAATTTTTCTGGGCTGGCAGATTTCAGATATCCAGGTGAACGGTCAGTCAGATGATATGTCAGCGAAGGAGAAGCTGCTCCTCTGGTCTCAGCGGATGGTGGAGGGTTACTCTGGTATCCGCTGTGATAACTTCACCACTAGCTGGAGGGATGGAAAGCTCTTCAACGCTGTTATACACAAACACGAGTAAGTGCCTCTGTACTACATCTCAAGATTGGGATTTGGCTTGTAAAAGTCTAAAGTAGTAGTAGTCACCAGTGCATTGTCACAGAATTCATACTTTTTTTTTTTGGTGTTTCCTGATATTTTCTTGAAATGTTTATCATTAGTCTGATAGTTACTCAAAAATACAGCCTTCTTTTAGCAATGTTGGAATATAGAAACGCTTCACTCTTGATCAAACTTGTCCTTGATGCCATGGAGTGAAATGTTCTGATCTGAATTCAGCGCATATTTCTGTGGAGATAAATGCCCTGAGCGCAGATGTGTCAAATCAGCGCTGTGCACACCACCGACAGTTTATTCTTGTGGAGTTTAATCAGCCTTTGAAGTTTGAATATTTTAAACTAAAGGTCTTTTTGGTAACACTTTACCTTTATATATATATATGTAATGCACTTAACAATGAATTGCATGATCTCATTAATAATGTAATCACAACTATAATACATTACAATACTTATCTATTTATTGTTTCACCTTTAGAAAGTATAATGCATTACAACTCATAACAAACAAACCTTCAAATATTATAATGCATTTTAATTTTGGTTGCAATTAATTATGAAAAAAAATGTAATGCATTACAACATGCATTATGAAAACTTTTATAATGCCTTTCACATAAAGCCTTTAAGTGTTATTGACATTTCTGTTTTGATGAATACAAAAGGAGATATCATGCAGAGTTTATGAGTAGCTCTTGAATATAAAGTGGTATATGGTTATAATGGGCTGTCGAGCTCAAGAAACAGTTATGAGATGTACTAGATGCACCGTGACACATCATTTTCAAATGTATGCGAATGTAAATGAGATTTGAGAACTATAGCAGAGGACGACTAGATAAAAAAGTTTGTCCAGACAAAGTTTATGTTGGCTTGACAAAGTCTCACTAGAAAGTAGATTTAATAGATTTAAGTCAGGATGTTTTAAGTAAGAAGATGTAAAAGTCAGTAAGTAGCAGTTTTAAAAGCTAAAATAGATTAATGCAATTTTAGTTTTTGGAGCTTGGTGACCCAAACTGATTTTATTGCATGGGAAAGAGCAGCATGTAGACTATTAAAAATATCTTATTTTGTGTTCCACATGGGTTTGGAACGATATGAGCATCAATTAAATCAATGATACAGTTTTTTGTAAGCGGGAAACAACCGTCTACACATGCCACACAGATCCAGGCCAAATGAAAGCTGTTTTTCTGTAATGAGGGTGTGTTCTGTATGCAGACGCGAGGACAAAAGAGAGAAAGAAGAGAATGAATGAGAAAATAGTTTTATAAGAAATGTACAATGAAGGCTGAAAGACAAATACCGTGAGGTGTGGTGCCTGTCGGAGTGGAGACAGGCCTCCCCGCAGGCCAGCTTTTCTGAAACGTTAACATATACCTGCAAAGCCTGGGAACGCCCAACTGACCCTGACACGAAGAGAGAGGATTTGATGCTTTTGTCAGCCAGGAACACCCATAGGATTTGTCAGATCTGCCTCCTTTCAGAAATGAGGAAGAGGCTTTTACAGGCAGCACCTGCATGACAGAAAACAACACTGCAAGTACAGTTTGCTTTCTTTTTTGGAGCTCTCTGGAAACACATTTTGAGAAACTGAAGAGTAACTAGAAGAGATATTGATTGTTGGAATTGCAAGAACTGTATGCTGTATTTGGAATTGCCTTGCGTGCAAGCACATTTTGGGCAACGATGATGCTCAACTTGAAGAGGCGTCTGTCCTTTAAGAAGCGTCGGGCCAGCTCCAGCAGCACTATGGCTTCTGCGAGTGACGTGGAGGACTGTGTGATCATGCTGTGCGAGGATATTCCCTCCGAGAGTTCCCTGGACTCCGGCCGTGGCTCCCAGAGTCCAGGCGCTTGCTCCAGCGGAGACTCTCAGACGGGATACGGGCCGGACTGGAGCTCAGTGGGCTATTTACCAGAGAGAGACCTGAGGCAGATCCATGGAGGCTTCGGGACGGACGATCGGAGCATGGTGGCAGACGCTCAATACCACGCTGGAGAATTTTATGCCATGCCTTCCAGCATACATTTCACAGAGATGCCTGGGTGCTTGCTTCATTTATCACACTTTAACACTTTTTATGGTGGTTTCGATGCTTTAATCATTCGGTGTAAATGTGTATAGTTTGTTCGCCCTCTGTTGTTTGGAGCCGCTCCCATCTCTGGGTATTCATGGCATGTGAGTTATGGCTGCATCCCTCAGGAGACAGATGTTATTTGGATTTATGGAGCAGGTGGTCACTTCAACTGCGTCTCTGAACTCATTATATCCTCTAGTATCAAGCAACATTTATACTTATTATATTGTGCAATATTCAAATCCACTGACTCCAAAGAAGCAAAATGTTCTCATTCTGATTTCATTAAATATTTTTGTTTTAGTGACACTTTACCGTAAGGTTCAATTTGTTAACATTAACTACATTTGTTGCACAAACTAAAACTGAAATATACTTCATGAGCATTTATTAATCTTAGTTCATTCGATGCTTTAATCATTCGGTGTAAATGTGTATAGTTTGTTCGCCCTCTGTTGTTTGGAGCCGCTCCCATCTCTGGGTATTCATGGCATGTGAGTTATGGCTGCATCCCTCAGGAGACAGATGTTATTTGGATTTATGGAGCAGGTGGTCACTTCAACTGCGTCTCTGAACTCATTATATCCTCTAGTATCAAGCAACATTTATACTTATTATATTGTGCAATATTCAAATCCACTGACTCCAAAGAAGCAAAATGTTCTCATTCTGATTTCATTCAATATTTTTGTTTTAGTGACACTTTACCGTAAGGTTCAATTTGTTAACATTAACTACATTTGTTGCACAAACTAAAACTGAAATATACTTCATGAGCATTTATTAATCTTAGTTCATGTTCAACATTTAATAATACGTTATTGAAATCAAAAGTTGTATCTGTTAATGTTTTTTGATGGACCGGAGGTAACATGAACTGTAACTAATATATTGGTATTGTTTAGTTAATGTTAGGCATAATGTGATCTTATCGTAAAGTGTTTGCATTTTTTATGCATTGGATTGCATTTGCAATGCATGTTTTTGTTCAGTGATCCAATGATTTAAACTTTTTACAGTATGCTGCATTTATTACAAAGGTGCGGTCACATTTACTGTTGCTCAGAGAAATTTCATGAGCAAAATCCAGTTACTTCAATAGGAATCCAAACAATCTGGAGTTTTGTGTGAAGACGAAAAGTTCCCCACACAGGTTGTGCTCATGCAAAGTTGGTTATGCAAAATCATCAACAGAAAGATGCTTGGTTTGAAAGTGACGTTTGTGCGTTCTGTGCTTCATACTTCTCTGCTCTATTAACAGTAGACAATGGATTATTTTTGCTTGCAAAATTTAGCCCAATTTTCACTTTTGTTACACTTTAAGACTATTGAGCTCCTAAAATTGTACATGACTATACTCCAAGATGTCTCTTTAAAAAAAGATGAAGAACCATTTTTGGTTCCCTAAGGAATCGTTCAGTGAACAGTTCTTAAAAGAACCATTTTTGTTCTTAGAGTGAAGAATATTTTAATAATCTAAAGAACCTTTTTCCAGTACAAAGAACTTTTTGTGCAATGAAAAGGTTCCATGGATGTTGAAGTTTCTTCTTGGAACCATCAATGCCAACAAATAACCTTTTACCTTTTAACAGTGTAAAAAAGCTTTGTTAAGAAAAGGCACAAAATTAAATGAACATTTGTCCTTTACAAATTCATTTGCATGCATTCAAATATGGTGAATCATGACCCTTTTTGACCCTCTTTGGGGTTACAAAATGACAGAAGGCTCCTCTTCCACGTCCTTGTTTACACCTTTAAGGAGGATAAAAGGTTAAGAATATAAACTTGAAGAGGTAATAGATGTTGTGTGATCTGGATCTCTGCCATCTGCGCTTATATAACAGCATCCAGCTGCTGTCAGAGGCAGTTTATTTCATTCCTCCTTCACGCCATCAGCATCTGTTATGAGAAGAGAATTAGATGATCTGTGAGCAGTGTCACAAACTATCGATAAATAAGCCCCTGTATTTGATTCGTCCCTCCCTTCATATGCTGTTATCAGACAAGGCTACGACTGTTGGCACCTAATTGAGTGAATGTGGTAAGTGATTTAGTGGCAAAAGAGCTTTCCTGTTCCTCTCTGAATAGTTTTTGTGTGGTTTTGTTCCCGGCTGCAGGAGCTGGAGCTGTGCTGGCAGGAGTATTACGAGCTGGTCACCGTTCTTCTCCAGTGGATCAGACATCATGTACTCATCTTTGAGGAGAGGAAGTTTCCCAGCAGCTATGAGGAGGTCGAGGTGAGTCTGCTGTTGTGTGGTCTGGGTTGCTACTAGTTACTCTGTTTGAGTTCAGTTATTGAATGAATTGCAGTCTTCATTATCTGTCTGTGCGTTGCACATTGTTTTTGTGTTGAATTATCTGGGTCACTGTCCTTTAAAGGACCAGATAAGTTAGACACCAGAATATGCTGTGATTTGGAGACTGCATAGAATGCTCGAGTTCTAACTAGTTTAACCAGCAAAATCCATGCTGGTCGACCAGCTTCACCCAATAGGTTTTGATGGTCAGCAACTTGGTAACTAGCATAGAATTTTTATTTTGCTTTATTTTATTTTACAGTTTTATTGCATTTAGTATTATTACAAATGTATTATATTTATTATTATTTTGCATTTATTATTATTTTTTTATTTGATTATTTAATAGTCATTTATTTTATGTGACATTTCACGGTTCAAACTAATATATTTGCATTTTTTATTTTATTTTATTTAAGTATTTCCTGCAGCAGTGCATTACTGTTTTTGCCAAAGTTATGTAAATTAGGCTGTGTCTAGTTTTATTAATTGTATTTCATGTGAATTTATCTTTTTAAGTAACTCTTAATTAGATCCTTATTGTTTTGTGTGAGATAAAATATAGCACTTATTGACAAAATAAAGTCATCTATATCTCTTTATTATGGAAGTCCGTTTCCGCCACTAAATAAAAAATAAAACAAGGTAATTGCGACTTTTTATCTCACAATTCTGACTTTATAACTCACAAGTCTGGCTTTATAACTCACAAGTCTGGCTTTATAACTCACAAGTCTGGCTTTATAACTCACAAGTCTGGCTTTATAACTCACAAGTCTGGCTTTATAACTCACAAGTCTGGCTTTATAACTCACAAGTCTGGCTTTATAACTCACAAGTCTGGCTTTATAACTCACAAGTCTGGCTTTATAACTCACAAGTCTGGCTTTATAACTCACAAGTCTGGCTTTATAACTCACAAGTCTGGCTTTATAACTCACAAGTCTGGCTTTATAACTCACAAGTCTGGCTTTATAACTCACAAGTCTGGCTTTATAACTCACAAGTCTGGCTTTATAACTCACAAGTCTGGCTTTATAACTCACAAGTCTGGCTTTATAACTCACAAGTCTGGCTTTATAACTCACAAGTCTGGCTTTATAACTCACAAGTCTGGCTTTATAACTCACAAGTCTGGCTTTATAACTCACAAGTCTGGCTTTATAACTCACAAGTCTGGCTTTATAACTCACAAGTCTGGCTTTATAACTCACAAGTCTGGCTTTATAACTCACAAGTCTGGCTTTATAACTCACAAGTCTGGCTTTATAACTCACAAGTCTGGCTTTATAACTCACAAGTCTGGCTTTATAACTCACAAGTCTGGCTTTATAACTCACAAGTCTGGCTTTATAACTCACAAGTCTGGCTTTATAACTCACAAGTCTGGCTTTATAACTCACAAGTCTGGCTTTATAACTCACAAGTCTGGCTTTATAACTCACAAGTCTGGCTTTATAACTCACAAGTCTGGCTTTATAACTCACAAGTCTGGCTTTATAACTCACAAGTCTGGCTTTATAACTCACAAGTCTGGCTTTATAACTCACAAGTCTGGCTTTATAACTCACAAGTCTGGCTTTATAACTCACAAGTCTGGCTTTATAACTCACAAGTCTGGCTTTATAACTCACAAGTCTGGCTTTATAACTCACAAGTCTGGCTTTATAACTCACAAGTCTGGCTTTATAACTCACAAGTCTGGCTTTATAACTCACAAGTCTGGCTTTATAACTCACAAGTCTGGCTTTATAACTCACAAGTCTGGCTTTATAACTCACAAGTCTGGCTTTATAACTCACAAGTCTGGCTTTATAACTCACAAGTCTGGCTTTATAACTCACAAGTCTGGCTTTATAACTCACAAGTCTGGCTTTATAACTCACAAGTCTGGCTTTATAACTCACAAGTCTGGCTTTATAACTCACAAGTCTGGCTTTATAACTCACAAGTCTGGCTTTATAACTCACAAGTCTGGCTTTATAACTCACAAGTCTGGCTTTATAACTCACAAGTCTGGCTTTATAACTCACAAGTCTGGCTTTATAACTCGCAATTGCGAGTTATAAAGTCAGAATTGCGAGTTATAAAATCAGAATTGCGAGTTATAATGTCAGAATTGCGAGTTATAATGTAAAAATTGCAAGTTATAAAGTCAGAATTGCGAGTTATAAAGTCAAAATTGCGAGTTAAAGTCAGAATTGCGAGTTATAAAGTCAGAATTGCGAGTCATAAAGTCAAAATTGCGTGTTATAAAGTCAGAATTGCGAGTTAAAGTCAGAATTGCGTGATATAAACTCGCAATTGCGAGTTATAAAGTCAGAATTGCGAGTTATAAAGTCAAAATTGCGAGTTAAAGTCAGAATTGCGAATTATAAAGTCAGAATTGCGAGTTATAAAGTTTAACATGTCTTTATGCTTTATTTTTTTTAAAACGCCTTGTTTTTCATATATTTTACCTTTATTGTAAGCCGCTGTCTCCATTGTCATTTGAACGGCCGGTTGACTTCCTGTTTCTATGATACCACTCCCTCAGAAATACGCAATGGGCTCAGACTGGTTAGCTGGCCCAGTGTGTTGTGATTCGTTAACCGTGTACTGCACGTTGTCCGGGAACTTCTCTAAAGCTGCGCAACATCGTCCCGCCCCTTTTTTTGCATGTTCCCGGGGGCGGGGTTTATGTACATTTCTGGGTTTATGACGTAACAAACCCGGGAAGTAGCTCGTTGTAGTCCCTACCAGCCGTTTATGTAGGCAATAAACTGCTAGCATTTTAAAAGACCTTATCTCCGTTTGCATAGAACTTTCAGCGCCGTAACTTTGCAGACATCGTTTATGCTCAAACAGCAACATTACACACTAACTAATGTTAAAAAAGTGAAATCGCAATCAACCACCCCTTTAAAAAATATACCTGTGATTAACTTGTAGTTTCGCAAACAATGTAAAAGTCGATCCCAACACTGCCAATAGCAGAGAGAGAACCCTATCCTCCTCATCCGATGGCATGTTACTGGAAGAAATCCTTCTTTGCAGAGCATGAGTCATGTCACATGACACCGCATCATGAAGAGCAGCATTCTGGCTCTGAGCTGCTTTGTCTGAGTTTCTATGGCTGTGTCTCCTCAGCGTGGGGCGGCTGTGTGATGCATATCATCCTGATCTGAGAGCAGCTACTTATATTACCTGCTTTGTGAAGCCTATCCTCAATCATGCTAGAGGAATAACAAATGACAAATACTCACTGAACCATCCAGATCTACCTGCTTAGGGTTATCGAGGGTCACGCTTGATATTCCAGCATATGCTGATTACTACGCTGTTACCCCTTAGTGTTATTTTACTGTCAGTGATATACTATTATAGTTTTTGTTATTATTTTGATATGTTCTGCTTTCATTTTAATCTTAAAATGTTAGTAATGTGTGTGTCATTTTTAACACTTTACAACAACCCTCCTTAGTTAACCTTAGTTAATGCATTGCACTAGCATTAACTAACAATGAACAATACATTTGTTACAGTATTTATGAATCTTTGTTAATGTTAGTTAATAAAAATACACCTGTTCATTGTTTGTTCATGTTAGCTCAGGTTCATTAAATAATAAATATTAAATATGTGTCACACTATTAACTAACTATTAACTACGACTTTTGCATCAATTAACTTAATAGATGCAAGTTTTAAAATTGTTATTGTTAGTTCATGTTAACTAATGTAGTTAAGTAAGGTTAACTGAGGAAGTTTATTATAAAGTGTTACAGACAGTTCTTTTAGTTTTTAAGTTTTAGTTTTGTTATTTTAGTACTTCAGCTGAAATAAAATAGGTTACACGGTTCTTTTTTAGTATTTTACGTTTTATTACAGTTAAAGTCTATTTTATTTAAATGAATGAAGATGTGGTTTTAGTATGGTTTAGTCGTAGTTAATGATAATAACCCTGTTACTCCCAAATTATTGCACTATGTTATATATCTGTGGGTGTTTATTTATTAATTTGCTTGTGTGGTTATATTGCAGATTCTGTGGCGTCAGTTTCTGAAATTTAAAGAAACAGAGCTTCCCGCAAAAGAATCGGACAAGAGCCGCTCCAAACACCTCTACCAGTCCTTTGAGGTTTGTACACACGATCAGAATACAGTATATTGTGCTACAATCATGGAGATTTAAACATGAAACATGAGATGTGAAAGTCATTTAAGTGTTTTAAATCTGTATAATGATATGTTTCCTCTGTCTTAACATGATTTACCACCATTTCCTCACAGAGCGCGGTCCACGCTGGTCAGGTTAAGGTTCCTCCTGGTTATCATCCCATTGACGTTGAGAAGGAATGGGGGCGTCTACATGGGGCTATTCTGGAGAGGGAGAGACTGCTCCGGATAGAGTTTGAGAGGTGAGGAAGACGTCTAAAACACAGACCTGTCTTAGTTTGGTCATGGCTTTAAACTGGCAAAAACTGACATTACATCAGCCGTTATAACACAACGAAGGCCATTCTAGACTAATGAGAGCTGCGTGAGAATGATGCGGTCTCAAAACGTATCACTTCAGCACTTAAAATGCATGCATTTTATTGCATTTGATGCAAAATATCAATTATCAATAAGTGGTATCCACAAACAGAGCTTCTGTCTTCACTCTTCTTCTTCATTTTTGCTTCGTGACTTGTAATCAGCTGGTGTTTTGGTGATTTTTAGTTCGTCATAGTATATACGAACACGTGAAAACACTGTTTGTATGTTTTTTCATCACTTGGTTTATTGTTTAATCATTTAAAACTGCCGTAACCACGAACTATGTTTACTGTTCAATATTCAGCAATAACGAACGCCTGTATGAACTACAGTTTCATATGCGAAGCGTTTATACAATCATAACGGAGATCATTTACAGTACATATAGATATCTTAAATGTACTGTAGTAAAAACAGACAACTAAATTATAGCTGTGTTGATGCAAGAAACCTTGAACTGTTTGTCAAATGCTTGAGTTTTTCACAATCAAGGAGAATGGAGCAAAGTGTTTGTGTTTCAGTTTTCGTTATAAAACATTAAACAATTTTGGTTTTGCTTAGTGTGATTATTACAGTTTTAATGATTTTGGATTCTGGCTTTTTATAACCTTCCTAGTTATATAGAGGCTGATGAATCTGTATTCGTCGCATGAGTGATTTCCAAATAAACGTATTGATTGTTCTCTTCAGTTTCTGTGAAGCAGTGTAGCAAGTTTAGCGATTTCAGTGTCGATGAGACCGATAAAAGAATGTTGCGATTAAATTCTGACGTAAATGAAATGAAATAGTTATGGATGTCCATCATCTTGAAGGAGAGGGAGTATCATAAACACCAGGACACGTCCCCTGTCACAAGACAATGCTGCTTCTTGCTGGACGAGAGTAATATGCAGCACACAGTTTCTTTATGGACTGTGGAATGACTGACAAAGCGCCACAACAACTTCATTCTGGCTGTGGTTTGGTCTGTCCGAGTCCCATGACAGGATTATGACAAGAAAGACATGCTTTTTATGCATTTTGGGGAGAGTCTTGCATGCTGTTGGACTGTAAAAAATGGCCTTTTTGACAGACCCGTATCGTTTAGAGTATTTGCTTCGTCGTGGAAAACTGTGAGTTTCTTGCTTGTTTTGTTTAGTTTTTTTTTTTTTTCAATTACTTGTAACCACGTAACCACGTCCGGGTGATTTTTAATGTCTTACGAAGTAATTCCCCATCATATTTTTCACATTTGTATTATTTTAGTTTCAAAGTTTTTACTGTATTGAAAATCCTGTCTCTTCATTTTATTGCAAAATCTTCCAGTCGTTTGTGTAATAGTCTCGCGTACATCAGACCTTTGACTAATCGGCGTAATGTCTGGTCCTCATAGCAGCTTATTCTGACCACCAACTGCCAATTTAGAAAATAAAAATGTAATTGAATTGTCTGTGCACTCTGATCATTTGCAGGTTAGAGCGTCTCCAGCAGATCGTCAGTAAAGTGCAGATGGAATCAAGCATGTGTGAGGAACAGCTCAACCAGACTGAGTCTCTACTGCAGACGGTGAGATTATACATCCTCAAAACACACTTATATAGTTACTATTCGGTCAAATGTGACCCTGCAGCACAAAAGCAGTCTTAAGTCGCTGGGGTATATTTGTAGCAATAGCCAACAATACATTGTATGGGTCAAAATTATCCATTTTTCTTTAATGCAAAAAATAATTAGGATATTAAGTAAAGATTATGTTCCATAAAAATATTTTGTAAATTTCCTACCGTAAATATATCAAAACTTAATTTTTGATTAGTAATATGCATTGCTAAGAACTTCATTTGTACAACAACTTTAAAGGCGTTTTTCTCAATATGTAGATTTTTTTGCACCCTCAGATTCCAGATTTTCAAATAGTTGTATCTCGGCCAAATATTGTCCTATCCTAACAAACCATACATCAATGGAGAGCTTATTTATTCCGCTTTCAGATGATGTATAAATCTCAATTTGACCCTTATGGCTGGTTTTGTGGTCCAGGGTCACAAATGTGAGTGTAAACTATGAAGTTGCTGTATAAACTTTGCATTGTAGTGACTTTGACTTTTGTTGCAGGATATCCGTCTCCTGAGTGCCGGGAAACCAGCGCAGCACACGGTTGAGCTGGAGAGGGATCTGGACAAAGCCGACGGCATGATCCGGCTCCTCTTCAACGACGTTCAGCTGCTCAAAGACGGGCGCCATCTGCAGGCGGAGCAGATATATCGCAGGTGAGTCCATACGACTATAGTGGAAAACCTTCTTCCAGTAGACATCAGTGCATTAGCTTTTTCCCCGCCAAACACAGAATTTTCCGTGTTTCTGTGTTTTCACTGTTATACACTCGGGGGCGCTATTACGCATCTCCTGAATGAGTCTAGAAAGTGCCGATCAAAAACACAGGCGAGGAAGATGCAGAAACGAGCGATCTCATATGTAAGCATATGCATATGAAAAATAATGTGATCATCAACAATAAACAGCATATAAATGAAAACTGAGTGAAATGTCGATCCAGAAATTGGTAAAGGCCTGTGCAAGCTTTGGGAGTACTGATGGAAACCATCTACTGCATCTTTGCTCTGATCATCGTACTGAATCTGATCCAGATGTAGTATGATGTTGATGAAATTGCTCAAAATGTTGCTTTTTTAACAAAACTTACCTACATTCAAGTGTTGATGTTTTGCATGTTCAGATATTCATACAAAAACATATTCTGGGGGCCATGAAATTTTACTGAAAATCGTCAAAAATGCAAAAACGCTGGCGGGGAAAGAGTTAAAAAAGGATATTTCTTTCCCTTTTGGACCTACAAGTAATTCTATTGGATGAAACAACTATGGAAATCTATTACAAATACTGTAAGCAAACCGAATGACAGCGGTTTTCTTTTCTCAGGGTCTACCGCTTACACGAGCGCTTGGTGAACTTGCGCAGCGACTACAATCTGAGACTCAAGCCCAGCGTCAGCACGGCCTCTCACGTCTCCATCACACACATTACCCAGAAGCCTGTGCAGCGCGCGCGGCCCGAGCTCGATGAGGTCACCCTGCGTTACGCGCAGGACCTGTTATCCTGGGTGGAGGAGAACCAGCGGCGGATCGATACGGCCGAGTGGGGCATCGATCTTCCCTCTGTGGAGTCTCAGCTGGGCAGCCACAGAGGACTTCACCAAACCATCGAGGACTTCAAGACTAAGATCGAGCGCGCACGAACAGACGAGGTACTTTAAGTTGTTTACTTTTTTATTACTTTTTTCATGTAGACTCTTACCTTTTCGAACTACTTTTCTTAAATTATTGTTTATGTATAAAATATGCCCTGTATGCTAAAGTCCATTATCTTTGAAGCATATTTTAATGGACTGTGATGTCTTCAACTCCTCCTAGACTTTTCATTTGACTCTTATGAAGAGATTTTGTGATGAAGTGAAACCAGATTTAGTTTTAGATTTTTTATCAAAGACAAAAATTTTTTTTTTAATTGACCATTTTTTTGTTGTTCTTTTATATTGTTTATTTGTTTATTTACCTTTTTCACTTGTTTCTTGTCATGAATATAGCCATGGTAGCTGACATGGTGCTAAATAATAAACAATCAAACATACGTATTAAATTGGCCTCAACCATAATTTTTAACTTACCATATAACTAACTATAGTAATTAACAAAATTTCAAGTAAAAAATGAATATGTATGAATAATTAAAAGTAATTTACAAATTAATAATCAATAACAAATTACTACTACTAAACTACTATAAGTATATTCAACTATACCTTCATACATACTGTATGCTGATGTAAAGCAGTTTGTACAACTATTTTGCAAATCTCAACTGCTTGATTGTTTATACTGTCACAAAATATTAACTGCTATCACATAGCTCTATATTTAAAGTTGAATATATAAACATATCCAATTTTACCAACAGATATACAGTATTTTCAAGCAAAGCAATATATACAATATTGCAAATTTTAACGGCTTGATTTGTGGCAAAATGTAAACTGAATGGTCAGCCATTCACTAAATGTGATCATAAAGGCCCATTCACATAAAGAATGAAAACTATAAAGATAAATATAACTGTATTAGCAGTGTTATCAATAGACAGTAATATTATGTTTATTATAAGCTGGAGTATTGTTGCCTGCCACTTTAAATACTCGAGCTCTTTAAAGCAGGATGTATCCTTATTGGCTGTCAAAGTCTTTATTGTTCATCAGCTGGGAAAAAAAAAAAAACTTCTGAAAGTGACTCCACCGATATCATTCCTCTTTCTTGTTATCTTTATAGTTGTGGTGTGGACTATGCTATTCCCATAGAATTAAACAATTATAAAAACTTTATAGTAAACTTTATAGTCCTTGGTGTGAGCAGTCCTTACGGCATTAAGAAAAAAGGCATGAAAAGCTCAATACAAATAAATTTGATTTTACAAAAAAAATGGATAAATGCATTTCCTAATTTTACTTCGAAGAGCTTTAGATGGTCTTTTGTGACATCTCTTCCTCTGTGTGTGTTTCAGAACCAGCTCTCGCCTGCAAGTAAAGGCACATACAGAGAATATCTGGGCAAACTGGATCTGCAGTACAACAAACTGCTGGTGAGTGTTTTAACCGGCAGCTATTAAAAATCACTAGGCCTTGCAGAGTGTCAGCATACGTCTCTCTTCTTCTCTAGAACTCCTCCAAGTCCCGTCTGAGAAATCTTGACCAGCTGTATAACTTCGTCAGCGCCGCCACCAAGGAACTGATGTGGCTTAATGACAAAGAGGAAGAGGAGGTCAACTACGACTGGAGTGAGCGCAACACCAACATGGCTGCAAAGAAAGAGAACTACTCAGTAAGTGCAGAGCCAAAAACAGCATTTTATACTCCTGTTTCTTTGTCTAGGGTTAGGGGTTTGCCTGTTGCTCATTATAGTTTAACCAGGTGTAAATGGAGAATACTGACAGTTTGGATTGTTCTTCATGGTCTGATTAATTCCTCAGGGACTCATGCGAGAACTGGAACTTAGAGAGAAGAAAATCAATGGCATCCAGGCCAGTGGAGACAGACTCATTAAAGACGGACATCCAGGCAAGAAGACTGTTGAGGTACAGAGTCAACGATTCATGTTTTTAAAAGAAGACATGGTAACACGTTACTAAAAGCCTTTGTGTATAATGCATTACAAAGGGTTATTAAAAGGTATAATGGATGATTATAATTATTTATAATGTGCATTGTAATACATTATATCTTACATTTAAAATGCACAGTGTAATGTTGAATTGATAAGTGTTATAAAGTATTATCTGCGCTTACAATTATTCATGAGATCATACAATGCATTATAATGAGGCATAAGGAATGCATTAAAACTACTTTTATAATGCATTATGCATAAAGGCATTAAGTAAAATGTTACCAAAGACGCTTCTGCTCACCAAGGCTGCATTTATTTGATTAAAAGTACAGTAAAATTGTGAAAAATTATTACATTTTTAAATAGCTGTTTTCTATGTGAGTATCTGTTAAAATATGTTTTATTGCTGTGAGCAAAGCTGAATTTCCAGCATCATTACTCCTGTCTTCAGTCTCACACGATCCTTCAGAAATCATTCTAATATGCTAATTTGCTGCTCGAGAAACAGTTCTGATTATTATAAACCATTTTGAACACTAGTGTGTGTTGTAAGTGTTATGTGTGTGTTGTGTTGATCGTCAGGCGTTCACCGCAGCTCTGCAGACGCAGTGGAGCTGGATCCTCCAGGTGTGCTGTTGCCTTGAAACTCATCTCAAAGAAAACACTGCATACTTCCAGGTACAGCATCAATATCATGTAACCATGTGCAGTTCTTTGTTGGTCAATCATGTATAAGCAGTATTCTTCTCTTTCTCGTCCTGTTTTACCCGTAGTTCTTTGCTGATGTGAGAGATGCTGAGGAGAGGATGAAGAAGATGCAGGAGACCATGAAGAAGAAGTACATGTGTGACCGCACCACCACTGCCACTCGTCTGGAGGATCTACTTCAGGACGCTGTTGTGAGTTTGCTTTTCATTGTCAGCAGTTGGCTTATAAAAACTAAACTGTAATGCTAGTGTTTGTTTTGCAAGTGTACAGTTATCGGTACAGTAGAGATTGTTTACTACACACATTTAATGTAATATTGCAACACTGATGTCACAATATTGTAGCACAATTGGAGAAATAAATACAATTTATAAAGCTAATTTTCTGATGAAAATTGTAATTGTGACTTAATATGTGATTTAAAATAAACAAGCCACATTTGCTGTGCTTGTTTGTAGGGCTGAACAGTTTGGCTAAAATGTTGTGAAATGAAATAAAATAAAAAATTAAATGAAAAAATTAAATAGTCAATCAAAACAAAATAAAAAATATTACTATTGTAATATTTCACTAAAATAAAAAATACAGTATTTAAGAAACATTATATAATAATAATAAGTAGTAGTAGTAGTTGTTATATTAAATAAATATAAAATTGACTGAATCAAAACAATAAGAAATAGTACTATTGTAATAGTTAAGTAAAATAAGAAATAATAATAATAATATTTATTTATTTAACATTACACCTGCAAAATTATATCACTAATAATTATGGCTGTTTTAAGTTCTTCATTTTCAAACATTAAACCATCAAACTTTTATTTTAATGGAAAAACATTTCTTATAACGGTATTAAAATGAAAAAGTTAAATTAGTAAGTAGCTTTAAGCTAACTAAGTGAGTTTGACCACAGGAGGAAAGAGAGCAGCTGAACGAGTTCAAGTCTGACATCGGCGTTTTGAACAAGAGAGCCAAGTCCATCATCCAGCTGAAGCCGCGCGACCCCACCAGCCCCTTCAGAGGCAAGCGGCCCATCCAGGCCGTGTGTGACTTCAAACAGATGGAGGTACAGACTCACTGGCACTAGTGTTCATTTTGTCAGCTATTTTCAATTTTAGTCTTAGTCCCGTGTTTCAGGTTTTAGTCAATGAAATCTTAGTCACATTTTCGTCATGCTGTATGATGATTAAACTGATAAAAATTATTTTTGCTCAAAATTATTAGCATAATGATTGTTGTCATTTTAGAAATTTACTTTAGCATTTCAGACATTGCACTTTCACCAGTAAGCACAAATCAATAGAATGTGGACACATACATGGTGTATTTTACCTCATCTAGTGTACTGATTTATTATAGGCTTTTTATTATATAAATAAATTCCAAAGACTTATGCACTGTCTCTGTCTACATTATAAAAACTGGTAAATGAAAAATATTATAACTAATTCCAATAATAGCCTATTTCTCTATTAAAACAACAGCGG